AATTTATTTAAATCTCGAAATATAAAAATTGTTACGGAAGTTGTATTTTCTATTTTTTTTCTTAGGTACGAGGATACTAAGTTTGGCCGGCAAAATGACACGTGGATGTTTATGGTGAGTGAATAAGTGGCCAAAGCCAACTCAAGATAGCATACCCAGCCGAAAGCTCACATCATCAATTAGAATACGTCTTAGTGCTAAACACTGCAAAAAGTAACAAATCAGAACATTTTCTTATATGGATATAAGTTATTTCGAATATGATAAAATTTTGTGTAATTATATATGGATAATATATCTATTTTAAAATTAAATTATTATTTAATATAGAAATATTTCATTTTTTATTGAAACGGATTAAAAATCTGATTAAAATATTAATATTCATTTTTAGGATAACTTATTTATAAATAAAATTAATATTGTATTTAATTTGTAATTTAAAGTTAATATAATTCTTTAATATAGGATAGAAAATAAAATAATTAAGATATACATTAAATGGGAAACTTACATAAATATACTATAATAAAAAAATATTTACCATCTATAGCAATAATATTTCTTTTTTATCTGGTCACTTTTAATTCATTTATAATATAAGTTTAATTCATATTATAAAGAACAATTTTTTTATTCATAAATGATACAAATTTTAATGATAGTTAATTCATTTATCACATATTTTAATACACTTATAATACAATGTGTCAAATTTTTACCAAACAAACATAATATATTTTTAAAACAATTATAATTTATATATATTGTATACATAATTCACTTTTAATACATATTGCAGATTTAACACAATATTATTTTAAACAATTTAATTTTTTTATAATTCATATATGCATAACTCTACGAAACGATCATACGTTTGCATATTATTGGCAATATATATATATATAGCAAAATAAATTGGTTATAAGTTGGAACTACAATATTGCTCATGTTTGAAATCTCCAACATGGTTACAATCTTTTAAATTTCTTTTAACCAACACAATTAACTTCATAAACGTACTAAATATAAATCAATTCTTTTATAATTGAAAAAAATAGTGTATAGATAATAATCAAAATGACAAATAGTTCCTAGTTTTATTTTTCTTAATAGTATTAATTTTATTTATTTATCAAGATTGTTTTTTTTTCTTTCTAAACTAATATTGAGATTAGAAATGAAGAGGAAAATCAAGATTTTGAAGATAGGGAAGTGACCAATGAGAAAGGTGAGAGGTTCCACGTACTCACATTCCACAATCAAATTCTATTGATGGATAACCAGAAGTAGGAGAAGCACACAAAATTTCTCACAAGATTTTAAAAAAAAAGGGTACTTTTTGGGGATATCAAGAAGAAGGAGAGGCCAAGAATCCAAGCATACTCAGTCCAAGATTCTAAAAGATTGGCCAAATGGCAGCAGCAGCAGCAGCTTCTACTTCCATGGCGGCTACTGCCGTCTTTGCCTCTCCTTTCCCACTTTCCTCCACCACCAAAGCTGCCCCAGCTCGCTGCTCCGCCTTGCCTTACCTTCCATCCCGTCTTTCTGCTATTGCCTTCCCATCTTCTCTCAAAATTGCTGGTACCCACTCTTTCTTTCCCCTCTTATTGGTTCTTGTTATAATGTTTCTTTATTGATGGGGACTGCCTATTGAGGTTGCATTTGTAATTAGGGGGTTAAAAAGAACCCAACTCAATTAAATTTAGACATATGGTGCTTTGGGTTAGTAGTATTTTTCTAAAAAGATCCTTTCTTTGTATTATTTCTGTCTGTTCTTGAAAGTTTACATTCATTGTGTTAAAATGTCGATTCCCTTGTTTAAAAGGTGTTAACTTGTTAACCCAATTTCACTCGTGTGTGCTTGTTGAGCAGTTTGAAGTGGGGTTACACTTGGAGGCATGATACTGAAACACTGAATTTAAGGGCAGTTGTTTTCACTTCGTTTTCCTGATTCAATGAAATCAATTAATTTGGACACAGAGTGCTTTGTTTTTAGAGTCTTTCTAAATCCTAACTATGATTTGAACATTTGTACAGTAGTCTTTCTGTTGCTATACTAAGAAAGTTGTGCAGATGTAGACTCCTCTATTTAAAAAGGTGTTAACTTGTCTCTGATTTCTATCTTGTATGTATAAAAAACAATGTGAAGTGATTGTTGCTGGACTGTGCGGTTGTGTGACAAAATTGCTTCCATACTGTTGATGAATTGGTTTAGAAGCTTACTTTCTCTGCTCTTTGAAAGCCATGTTGGCAAAATGTTTTTAACATTTGCTAGGATGTTATCTTGATGCTCTTTCCATTTGCAATGCGCTCGTCTACTGGATTGATTATGATGAAAGAGCCTTCTTATATACCCCATGCTACTGGTTAACTCAAAATTTTGATTTGTGTACAATTTCAACAAGTTATAGAGTTAAGTAATATTTCTACAAATGCATTTTGGCGCCACTTTAAGGGTCTTTATATTAAGGGAGATTAATATCATCCCAAAGAAATGGTGGGAGTGCCTGAGGTATAGCAGTAACAACTTGAGGTCAAAGGTTTGGATAACAGCTAAACTCGGTGTAGGTTCAGCTACTCGAATACTCTTTACAAGTTGACCTGACCCCCAGACACTTGTGCTTGTGACCTGTAGCTAGTTGTATTGTGGATTAATAGTGGTGTGACAAGCTGACCTGGACACAAAAATCTTTCAAAAGAAAAAGGGAAAATGATACCTATAATTGACGATTGTCAACAAACTTGAACTAGCCAATACTTTTAGACTTCTGTTTCACATTCAGTAGAATTATGAATGTTACACATTTTGATAGCTTCAGTGGAACCTACTGTAGCTTACCTACATGTACTGTCTTTCACATGTTTTCGGATTCTTTTTGATGAAGTAGATTGACATCACCCCGTTTTTGAAACTTGTGTAGATTTTATTTGTTACTTGCGATTTGATTCAGAGGTTCAAAGTTTTGTCATGCTTTTTGTAACAGCTGAGGGATATCTATGTCAGATACCATACTTCAATTGGAAGTGAACCTTGTATGATGTGTTGAACAGCCTCTCAACTGGATGTCTTAAAACAGAGCATAAAATGGCATAACATCGACTTATCTTAGAGGTCTAATGAGTGATGAGAAAAGGAATATGTCGTGGATATTATCATGTTATCTCCAAGAATACAGAAAGTCCCTTCCCAAAAGTTGGAGCTCTATTCTACCGTGTAGTCCTAAGAATCTGGTGCAGAAAAGGTTTAAGATGAGATGAAAGTGATACACTTTGCTGTTTTTAGTATTGTTACTTAATAAACTACGAAGCATCGCCTACGAACTGTGCTGTTTTCTATATACTGAAGTCAATACTTCATGTTGCTGTGCTCATCATCTTATGTTAATATTCTTACAGAGCCCAAGAGGTCTTCGCTACTCCAGGTCAAAGCCTCTTCATCAGAAGAATCTGGTGCTGTTGATACTAGTGAATTGTTGACGGATCTAAAAGAAAAGGTAAACTGGACACTTGCAAGCTGATATTTTCTCTATTTCACTCACTTCAGTCATTTGATATACACACACACTCTCGGCTGCATTAGTACCTTAAAGGTTATTCAGAATAAATAAGATTGTTCTGTACATAGTCCAAACTAGTGTTTGTTTTCTATTTTGTAGTTATTGGCTGTGTATAAATGATATTTAGGTTCTAACCCTATGAGCGCTTTTGGTTAATCACTTACAGTGGGATGCTCTTGACAACAAGTCTACGGTCATAGTTTATGGAGGTGGGGCAATTGTTGCAGTTTGGCTGTCTTCAATTGTTGTTAGTGCTATCAACTCAGTTCCTTTGGTAGGTTGATCAATGTGTTACGATACCATCTGTTTAATTTCTGTAAAGTGAAGCGAGATTTTGTGTTGCTTTTTAGATTTTCTTATGTGGTTTCCATTCACCTATCTAAATTAGCTGATCTTTCTTCCTCTTTCAACAGCTCCCAAAAATCATGGAGTTGGTAGGTCTTGGATATAGCGGGTGGTTTGTCTACCGCTACCTTCTCTTCAAGGTAAGTTTTTTTGACTGTGTAGCTACTCGATATCATCTTTTACGTACCAAACTCAAGCAACGACAGGCAGTACAGTGCCTGTTTCCTATATCAGCATGCCATTATCTTACTTTCGTTAAGGAGATGGTTAATAGTACTTACGAGTGAGTGATTTACATTTCGTTTTCTTGGTGACAGTCAAGTAGAAAAGAACTGGCTGAAGATATCGAGCAGTTGAAGAAGAAGATTGCAGGAACTGAGTAAATGCCAGCACCAATTCTGTACAATGAGGCATATGCTCATGTGAAGTAGAGTAGATTTTGATGTAATTTTTCGTTTTTATCAGAGCAACATCTTCAAATAAAATTCTGTATTTACCTTACAGTTCATTGTTACTTATAAATCATATACTAGTACATATTTCCTTTGTTTCTATGAATGCAACCGATTGTTTTGTTTGTAAAGTTTTTATAGTAATGCATGGAGACTAATAAACGAAAGACCTCCCTTTTTCAAGTGTTCAATTAGTTTGTGCACACCTCAACTTTTCTAACACTATTTCTTTTTCAATTCTTATTAGTAACCAAGAAGGCAATCCTAGCTCCTTTAGTTTTAACATATCTAATTATGAACCCTTTCTTTAATCTCTACTTAATGAGTTCATATCTTAAAAGTTAAAATTATCTCCAAAAAAAAAAATTAACTGAGCTAGTTTCTACCTATATTTTTTTTCGGAGAATTAAATAACTTTTCCTTTACAATATTTTCAACGTATTGTAAATACATTTAAAATGTTAAAAAATAATATGTCCAATTTAATTTCACTCGATGAAATCGAGAAATGTTATAACGTGGGAAGGCTATTTCGATAAAAACTCGACTTACAAATCACAAGTTAAAAGTGTTTTTTATTTTTCATTTCTTAAATTTTGTGTGGTATCAAATATATATAATTTGAAGAAGGCCCTTGTAGTTTCTTAATTTCTATACTTGCCCCGGTCCAATAAGGGTTTTTGAGGGGGTTTCAATTGCATCGTCACTTTCATCAGTTAGGTTTTTCATTTGCAGAGCCAGATTCTTCATTACACAGTGAAATCAAGATGATGCGATTAACAGAAATTGCAAAATCCAAACCCTTGACCTCATCAATCGAAACCCTAGGACACCAATTCATACAGAAATGCTTCGTCAGTCGAACAGCAAAGGGAAAAGGTAAACTGAAAACAGGGCAGCCATTGAAAAGATCAAAAGTTACAACGAGGAAAGGCGCAGAAGTTGCGAAAAAAGAACCACCAAGGAGGAAAAGCGAATTCGACGAAATGGTTGAAGATTGTTTGTCTTCTACAGCTCCAGTTAGATCATTGAAACCCAAAGAAAAAGCACGAGAAGCTGAAAGGGAGAGAATGGGCTTAATTAGCAAAGCCAAAGATGAAGAGATGAGAAAGATAAACAAGGTGAAGAAGGAGTTTGCGAATCCATGGCCAATTGGTCCACCGGGTTTGGATTTGATTTCACTTGGGCTTGTTGATGTAGAGAAGCTTCCTAAGTATGAATTGACTGTTGAAGATGGAAGGAGGCTGGCAAAGGAGAATAGTAGGGTTTTAATGCGCAAGCATAGGCAGAGGCAGGCTGCTGAAACTACATTGTTGAGGTTGAAGAAAGAGGCGATTGAGGCATTACCGGAGAATTTGAAAGCTGCTGCATTGGTTCCTGATATGACACCATTTCCTGTGAATCGATTTATGGCTACGTTGACGCCACCTATTGAAGGTTATCTTGAGAAGGTTATGGAGGCAGCTAAGAAGAGTTCTGCAAAGGAGAAGCTTAGATGATTGGAGGGTAAGGTGATAGTTAATGCTACCTTGTGTTTGCTTCTTGAGAATCCCTAGTTTGCAATAAAAATTCAATTTTTATGAGCATTATTTTGCAACAGGCCCGACTAGAAGAAGTGGACCAAATAGATTAGATTGGATTGGAGGATTTCTTTAAGTAGTTTGATATTGGTTGTAGTTGAATGATTTTGATCTTGAATATGTACCTTTGGTGTTTGTTTTATTTGTGTGATGATATGATCCAAAGGCGTTTTATGAGTTTAAAGAAAGCACTAGGTTTAGTATTAAGAAATGTTACTGTTTGATCCTCTATGTTAGTAATATATTATTAGAACATTGGCTTACTGTCGTTTAGATTATCTACGCTCTTGTTCCTTATTAGAACTGCTTGCTGTTTACAGATTATTTGGGAACATGCATACTATCTGTTCAAGGATACTTTCCATCTTTATGTATTTCATTTGTCATTCACGTTTAGGATGTGGTGGTGGTGAGTGTTCCCCTGGGATTTAGTGGGGCAAAATGTGAACTTTGTCAATGTACATAATACAATGTTTTTGTATATTGTATAATGTTCCATAGAAGATAATTCTCCTCTGAATTTTTTTAGAAAAACTATTTCTTCACTATTTGAATGTTTGGTCGAGTGTAGAGATTCATCACATATGACAGTAGTGGAAGATGTGATTGGGTTTGGGTGAAGTGTTTAGGTGATATCTGAAGTAGCAAAAGTTTGTGAAGGTTTCTGCATGACTATGAGTAAGTCATATGGGAGAGAAACTGAGATACTTGTAACAGAGAATGACTATGCCCTTAAGCAATATAAGTTGTGTTCCCACCACCATGGTAAATCCTTACACGGAGGCTAATCAGTAAAAATGATTCCATGAAGAAGTAGTAGTTAATCTTGATTGCTATGGTGTTAACCGTATTGATAATCTTCCAAGTATTGAATTTTGTGCTGGTCTTCACCATGGTTATGTGAAGATGGATATGTGACCTAGATGGCTAAATTGTGGATAAAATTGACATCCAGCTAGTAATAATGACATTGAAGCTACTGCATAAAGTAGTACAAACCTAATATCGCAGCGACAGTGAATTTTCTCCTGGTATTTGACCTTATCTCACTAGATTCCTGTACTGACTTTAATATTCTCTGATAAGCATGATGGCTACTTTATAAGATTATTTGTCCAAGGCTAAAAGACCAGCTTTTGTTGAACAGCCTATTTGGTAGAGAACTCAATATCTCTTTCTTTTGTTGTTACAGAATATATTGCACTTCATGCTAGTTCAGTTAAGTTTTATTGTAATCTCTATGTCTTAGATGTTTTAAACTTTTCTGTCATTGAGGTTATGCATTGATGAGCTTAACAGCTTCTCCACCTCCTTTAACTTCCTTTTCTTAGCGAGATTCTTTTTCTAGTTGTGATAGGAAACTAGTGACTGTTACATGCATTGACTTTAGTAATTTGATTCCAGATGCAGTTGAAAGTTTTTCACAGAGATAGCAAGGTTTGCTGGTGATATTGTGGCATTAGGAATCCATTATTTAGCAGCAAGATGACACTGGAAAAGAAGAACTTGAATAAGCCTTGTAACAATTCACTTTGTTTTGGTTAAACTGGCTTTTTTTGCTTTTGTGGTATGCCATTTGTCGTTATGCCACTATATGCTTAGTGTTCCTTTCACTAGGTTTGTGTTGGTATATTTCTTATTTTACCTGTGAAAAACAAGAGTCTTAGCTTTTTCCCTTTCACTCTGGTCAAACTGCCAACCAATTTATACGAGACTACTTAACTAACAAAGCTCATTGTCTTCTTCTTTTTTTTTGGAATATGGAGTCTTCTTCCTTTAATATTATTAATAGTAAGAAAGCAGTTCTACTGCTGAGATTCTAAAATGTAAGCTTTTGAATTAGTAGAGGAGAATCTCCTGTAATTTTTTCATTATCATGAAGTGAAGATCTTCTTAAAGCATAGGCATCCTATGGGAGAACTAACGACTATACAGCTTTATGCCAAATCATAACGATAGTAGAATCAGTTTGTGGTGAATAAGCAAAAGAAGAGTGCAGATTCAATAAACAAGAAAAGTTCAAATTCAGCTATTCAACATCAACTCTGCAGGTTGTTGGACTAATAATGAGAACAATATTGCTGTGAGCTTGACTGCATAGTTATGCATCTCAGTAGACAGTATACCAATATGTCCTGCATTCTCTTCGGTCTCGCAACATAACAGGCATGAAGAAATGGCAAAAATTGGGGTGTTATTGTTTCGCTAATCCTCTAATGCATGAATTAGTATTCTGGGGGAAAGAACCCCCAAGATGCAATACTGGAAAATGTGAGAGACTAATTTCAACCGAGTGGACACTTATCCAACATGGAAACTACAACCAAAATAACAATAAAACTAGGCTGAGACATGCTCACTTAACATAAAAGCTTCTTTTCTAAAGTTCATAATCCATAAATCAAATGCAGCAAGAGATATCCAGCACCACTCCACTACAAAGAATTGTTTCCAAATCTTAAGTCTAATTACAAACCTACAGGCTACAAACATGTACTCAAAAGAACAAACTCTGAAAGACACCACTAAATAGCAAACTGTACCTTCACCAGTGTCTTAGTAAAACTTGGAGCAAGTAACTCAGAAGGTGCTTTCCTTTTTCATTTATCAACACATTATTATTGCATCTAATAAATCAAGAGTTGCATGAGTAGAATAGAGAACAGGTGGCTATTATTGTATCTAATTCACCAAAGCATAAATCTTCATACAGAAGTACTAGTGCACAAAGTTCAATCATATTAAGATGGTACATATAAGGTCTCTCTTTCTTTTTGTATTGAACTCAAGCTCCAAGGAAATAATTGTGAGGCCAACAGGAAACCCCAGTGATAGCACTGTTTAGATAAGGAATTTTAGATTTTGTCAATGTCTTCATCTTCAAACTCAATGTAATCATCAGCGGCATTCTCATCTTCTTCATCCAAATTAGCAATACCCTCATTGAGCCTAGTGTTCTCTGGTAACTCTCCGTATGCCTTCAACAACCTTGCCTCATCTGGCATATACTTCAGAATAACATCAGCCTTGTCATCCTGGCAAAAACCCAAATGGGAAAGTTTAGTGAAAACAAAGAGAATCCCAGTTTACATTATATAAGAACTGAGAAAACATAAACAAAGCAACCCAATGTAGATTGATCGCCCAAGTAAAACATTACAGAGAAGATCCTCACATGAGAAAGAGGCACAATTAGAAACCCAGAGATCTCCCTGGCACTCTTATAACAATTTTTTTTTGGGATAAGTAATCTGAGATTTACAAATACTTGCACTAAGCCAGTGCAACAAAGGGTAATTGGAGATCGCGCGGATCCTCTATTGTATCTATAATACCATCTACATCACATCATGTAGGACAACCAAAATTCACCATTGAACCCAACAACTGGATATCGAGACTTCATATTTTACATTTATACTCTCATGAAATGGAAGTATCATCTTTGTTCTTCAAGCAAAAGATTACAACAACATACCCCATCTAGACCCAAGTGGAGTTCGAGGAGGGCAGAGTGTAGGCAGCCCTTAGAGAGGCTTTAAGACTGTCGAACTAAATTAGCTTTGGCCAAATACACAAATTGCAATAATGCATTTCATGTGTTATTGACAAGGTTATCAAAAAAATTACAATGAGTGAACGAACAAGAAATATGAATGAGAGAAATCCACAACTTTTGGAAAAGGAAAAATCCGTATACAAATACATAAAACACAGCTCAAAAGATGGGAATGAAAAAACAAAATCGTAGTTCCAATCAATCAATAATTTCATCCCAATTCTGAACTAGTTGAACCTCTGTACTCTTTTCCGCTCAATTCCGGTCCATCAAAACCTCAATTTTTCATATGGGACGCGAGAAATAAAGAGGGAAAATATCAGTTTTTAACAGAGTCGATTACAGCTAAGTAATTTGTCCCCATCTGCAAAAGACATATAAAAAAGATTAAATCGAAAAAAGAAAATAGAATCTTGCCTGATAATCACGGAGTCCGACAAGGATGATATCACCGGCGGCAATCCAAACTTTCTTATGCATCTTACCACGTATGTGACATAGACGTTTCGTCCCATCAATACACATAGCTTCACATCGGCCATTTCCAAGCATACGAAGAACTTGAGCATATTCCTGTCCATCTTCCTTAAAAACAAGCTCTCTCTTTTCATCATCAGCTTCGTTCTTCCCTCTCTTCCTGTTCTTTCCTCCCTTTCCCTTATTCTTCGGCATGATTGATTACTTGATGGATGGATGGATACCCTAACCCTAATTTCAACGATGAAATGAAACCCTAGAAATATCTCAAGAGAGTTTCAAATTTTTCTTTTCAGAAAAAAAAAGAGATTTTGTTAGTCTTTATATTAGAAAATTTTCGTTGGCCTTTTCTACTAGGGTCTAGGAGAGTAGATGATTAGACTATTTTACCCTTTTCAGGCTGGCTAATTGGACTTTCTATGTAGGGACAAAACTGTAAAATTGTTGATGTATTTCATTTTCAATTTTTTTTTTTGAAATTTCTCTATAATAATAAGATTGCTGGCTTGAATATTAATTATTATTATTATTATAAACTAGTAGTATAATCGAAGCAATAACAGTTGCTATATGTCTTGTAATCAACTTTGAATTAGTCAGTTTTTATTATAAAATTGGATACGGGGTGAGAAAATTATATTTTTTTAAATTTGGAGGAAGTATCAAACGTGTGGGGGACTGTCAACTCAAAATAATTGTACTACACTCAATTATTTTATAGTGATTTTTATGTACAAGCAAATAAATAAGAAATTCTTTTGTTTCCTGTTATTTTCTGCCAAGTTCAGAGTTCAGAGAAAAAAGATATTCCTGCAGTGAAGTTCCAAAATGTTTCACGTATAACATTCATTTACTCTTTCATCTCAATTTATTCGATACTGAAATTAACAAAAAATTATTTATAGCTATTCAAAAACTACACGAATAATACTATAAATTTACAATATTATTTTTTTAAAGCAAAAGAAGAACCACAAGTGTCGAAAACTTGGGGAAGTTTAGAAGAATCTCGCGGAAATGATGCGAAAAGCTTTATCGAGGGAATAGTATATTTGGATGAGCATCTTATATTTGCCACATTCAAGGCATATAAATAAGACAGCTGGAGGCATAACCAATCGATGAAATGGCTCTTTTTCGATATGGCTAAAATTGCATGTATTGTGCAATGTTTACCATTCACCATCACAACATGACTCAATGCTATGAACGCTCACTTCCAAATTTCAGTAAGCATAGACTATGTAATCCATACAACATCAATAAGTTTATGGGTCACATTCTATATGGTACCCATGGTTTAGCAGAAGAAAGTTTGCTAGGGAGTTGATACAAACTCAGCTATACATTGTTGAACAATGCTTATCGCAGCATATGACATTTCAAATAACGACGTACACAATATCAGGACAACCTGTACTAGTATTACATTTGAGCATTTCAGAATAACCAGCGTTCTTTCGCTCATCAATTCCATTTACATCCTTTTCCATCTCTGCAGAGCATGGCAAAAGTGATTTCATACTAAATATTTCAATACCTAGCTTATGGCAGTTAGTGCCTTCATCTAAACCTCGTCTTACAGGCTTTTATTAAACCAAGAAACAAGAGCGTTGAACTCACCCAAGAAGTAAAAACAACTGCATCCATTAACAAAGGTATCAACTCTTGATAGTAAGTTCAGCCCTGAGATGGAGCATACCATTAGTAAAATATGGACTGTCCTCAGCGATGAAAGAAGTCCATGGTATGGCAAATAGATTGCGGTATCCAACTGCCTTGCCCCCTGTAAAAGTGTAGTTACCTTTGTACTTGCTGACATACTCCTCCCCTGGTTTTGTTCTTGCTGCAAATTCATAATCAACAGCAAAAGTAACCGAACCTTTTTCCTGCATCCCCAGAAAGAGACCAAAACAGTGGAAAGAGCTTTGCTGATCCATGTTGCAATGTGCAGACAGGAAAAAACCTTGCCCTCCTAAATGAAATGCTTGAGAATACACTCTTCCTGAAGGAAAGAGGTTAGCACATTCCTCCCGCTTAAGATCCAGATAGACTACACATTGTTGCCGTGGAAGTCCAAAATCAACCACCTTCACAGGTCGATACTTGTAAGCACGTTCCACGAAACGATGACTAGTGGAGGACGAGTCTTCTGCAGCTTGGCTTCGCTGACGATGAGGAGCCTCAGCTTTATAAAAGAGAGCCTCAAGCACAAGCTTGGATGCAAATTCGTGATCAAAGTCATTACATGCCAGAACCTTCCGAAGCTTTCTACAGCTCATAAAAGGAAAACGGATGCAACGACCAAGTCGTGAACTAAGGATTTCTCGCCGTTCCTCTAACTGTGGATAATGAGTCCTTGTCCACTTCAACACAAAGTCATACACTGCATCCTCTGAGGCGATCTGAAGGTCATCACTGAACAAAATAGCCTCTACTCCAGCAAGAGGCAGCTTCATGACCTCTTCCTGAAACCTGTTAAAAAGACAATGAGCTCATTATCAAGCGTGTGACAGCTAATCAAAACTCACCAAAAGCAGCAGTATATGGAATCAAAATTTTCACTTGTCCCACATTAAAAACAAGTACTGAGGGGCTATGGAAAGAAACTTTTCATTGTTTAACAATTCATAATAAAGAAAATGCAATGTAATTTGAGTGATGGAATGTCGGACAGAATTCTGAGAAAATTTCTGGCACTGGGTAAAAAAGGTCTTCTAGAGAACATAAATTGTCACCACTGTATTGAACAAAGTATGCTGTTGAGACTGAAATATCATCACAAGGCAAATAGACAGCTGCATCAGAACAGAACAAAGAAGAGATAGAGTGTGGTCAGTAAAGGGACAAACTTGGTAATATCTTTGTATCTTGCAGCTAGGAATTGTTCTGCGGCATCTGTCAAAGGCTTAACTGCTTCAGCCATCAGGATGCTAGAAGGAAGCTCCAAATACAGCAAAGCGGACTCTGGAGTCATAGGTAAATTACGCAGTTGCCGGCTACAATACCGCATGCAGGAAGCAACTTCAAACTTGTCGGCAGCCATGAGTACATCCAGCAAAGCAGGTGCTGTATTAGTGGTCAATTTATTGCTGTACATAAAATTCAGGAGCTCCATCAGTGCAGCTTCCTCTGCTCCATGAGAATGAAAAAAAGAACATTATTTCTCATGAAATTGATAGGAATCCTACAACTTCTCTAAGGTGACAATATTTGACCCACAATTGTCAAATCACTACCACTAGATGCTGACACAACAATGAACATAAAATGAAAGAAAAATTCTCTCCTCTGTGCTTTTGCAAGTTTCTCATAAGAAAGGGAAGCTCAAAAATATGCTCAGTTGCTCACACAGCTAAGTGCAGTCCAATATAGCAACCGTCAAGAGGTCAGTAAAATGATATAATGTGTCTTAAATTTCTTGGTACCTGAAGCATTAATTCTTAGAGTTACTTGTCTTTGCTCAGACTCCCTCATCCCATTGGAGAAGAGCTACATAAATACAAGAAAGCTCAGTTGATTCTTCATGTATAATACTCAAGACAGTGCATAAGCAGCTTGCATATGAAAAAGAATGTTTACCTTGTAAAAGAAAGGGCTCTTTGCTGCTAAAATGGGGGAGCTGATATGTAAGGTTTCAACTTTAATAATTCTTGGAGAATCAAAGTTCCAAGATGAATCATCAGCATTAGTAGCTTCATCTCCTGCGGAACAAAACACTGCATTGCTTGATTATCTTTCTCAAGGTACTTTGAAGTAATTGTGGGAATCAAACAAAATACAAGTTATGAACACCAGGAACAACTAGAGGAACATGTCATATGATTCTGCAATAAGATTAGCATCAAAACTAGAAAGCAGAAAGAAAGTGAAGGACAATGCAACAGTATGTTAAAAGAACACAGACAAAGAAATGCTGCTTCTCTGTTCTGCAACATATAGCAGAAATAAAAGGTCAGTAAAGATGTACTTCTCTTTAAGTATGGTTCCTTTCCTTTTTAGTATATGTATACCCATCCCTTGCAAGGGATAGTGTCCTTATGCAACAGAAACACTGTCAGAATTTGTTTACAGTACGCCTGGAGATCACCATACTTTAAAATACGATATCCGCATACAAATTCTTTTATAAGCATCCACATTCAAATTTAAAGTATAAAGAACAAAGAAACCGGCCTTAGCTTAAGGTCATGGTTCCAAAGAGATCAACTATTGGCTCACTGGTAAGCCCTTCATAGGTCTGACTTAATTAATTTTATGTTTTATTCTTTTATAGTTATATTTTAATTTAGCAAAGTGGCACTGAAGTAGCAAGTATTTCGACAGAATACACGGAAATTAAAGAAACCTCATTGTTTATCGAAGAACAGAAGCTGGCGGCAAAGAAATGTAGGACTAGATTTGGTTTAAATACCCGAGTGTGGTTCTTCGATCATTGCAACAACTGATTCATCTTGATTTTCATTCTCAACATCTTCAGTATCAATTTGATTACAACTTATAACCTGCTCTTCAGGACAAGCAGTGATATCCAGAGCTGCAAACGAGTGGCACATGGCTGGTTAACATCATAGAACAAGAAAAACCCATGCCAGCATAACAAAATCAGAAGTCTAACCAATATGTTATACGCATAACGTTCATTTCAAGGGAAGCAAAGTTGTATTTCATAACCCCCTCTCTACAATCCTTTTCCCCCAACATAAGAAAAAGAAAATATGTAATAAACATTTAACAGCACCTTTTTCAAACGGAATAAGAGAATTTATTAAAACAACCTCTTTTAGAAAGAAAGAAGTAAACACAAATTTGTTAAAACATCATCTGTTTCACGTTTTCTAACAACAACAATCAAATATCAACTAGACCATTTTAATATAAGAACAAGAGCATTGGACAGTGTATGATGTTGTCTAGTGGAGTCAAAGATCCTTTAGAAACAGAATTATGCCTCAACCCCAAATCAGTTAGGGTTGGATATATGAATCATCTATCAAATACATTCAACCTAGTTCCTTTCATTCATTCAGATTATTTGTTACGATGACAATCATTACACCGTCAACTATTGCAATCTTACTCCTTCAACCTAGGATTAGTTACATGTGTAAGCTAACATGTGACGAGCTCAAAGATCATTTTAGTTCTGTTAAATCATACTGTTGAACATGGATGACAAAAAGCAAGCAGACCTCCTTTCTTATTCTTTCAATCCTTTCTTCCTTTCTCTTTCTAGCAAAATCACAATCCCACAACAAATAAGTATGACATAAACCCACTGTTCCAAATCTCCATACACAAAACCTCCCTTTCACTTTGGAGATCATCCATAGCCAAAAACAAGGTCCACCAATTTTCAACTCAAAATCCTCAGTAACAGAAGTACCCAATTCATAAATTACTCATAAATGAATGCAGCTGAAGCTTAAATAGATACTTGGTTCATAAATTAGCTAGAAACTCAAGCAACTGAAGCTCAAACAGATACCCAATTCATAGATTATCTAGAAACTCAAGCAATTGAAGCTTAAATAAATACCCAGTTCATAAATTAGCTAGAAACTCAAGCAACTGAAGCTCAAAGAGATACCCAGTTCATAAATAACCAAGAAACTCAAGCAACTGAAGCTCAAACAGATACCCAGTTCATATATTACCTAGAAACTCAAGCAACTGAAGATTATATATATACCGAGTTCATAAATAGCTAGAAACTCACGCAACTGAGCTCAAACGCCCGATTACAGAGCTAAGATAAAGAGAAAAAGGAGTAAAGAGACAAACCCATTTCCTTCCTGATATCTTCTCTACGTCGTTTGCGATTACGAGCCCAATCAGCTAGACTCTGAGAGTGAAAACTATCTGAATCAGATTGAGGGTCAAACGAGTCAGCCATTATCTCGATCTGAAGTAGACGATCGGAGAAGTTGACATCGTTGAAGGCAAAGCCAAAATCCGGGTCCCGGGTACTACTCGGTGAGTATTCAGGGTCCATAACAGCCGTTCTCGGGTCGAAAAGATCCAAATTCTGATCCTTCATGGCTGTAAACTCAACTATAAAGATTCTCTTTCTCTCTAAATATCCGGCGGATTTTGCTTTATAATGTCTCTGAGAAGTAGGCGGAGAAATGTTTGGGGAAGATGGAGGAAAACGAGGCGCGGGGTTAAATTATAGTAGATATACACGTGGCTTTTGATTCTATCGAATAATTAAATTTTAAATATTTGAAATTGTTAATTATTTCAAATTTATAGTAAAAAAATTAATAATGAAGTATTAGTATATGTGTCTAATTATACTATAATTTAATGCATGATATTATGCAGGAAACTATCTATTCGTTTTTACGTTTTACACAGCTTGTTTCTTCTTTTTAAGTTTCACGTGTTTAATCAGTTTGATAATCTTTAATCAAGAAAAATAAACTTTAAAAATTGATAATGTGAAACATCTTTATTTGGCAAATGATTTAGAGTATTATTTTATGAGAAGACATGGCTTCTGGATAAATCATTTAAAATATGCAGGATTAATAAAAAGAAAAAAAAATATTTCCAATAAAATACCTCAAGTGGAGTCAACGGTCAAATAGGCTGCTCTTTTCCTCTTAGGTCAAAGTTAGCTTTAATTCGAACCATTTAGAGCCTGTTTGGCTCAGCTTAAAAGCTGATCAAACTGACTTAAAAGCTGGTTTTTGACTTATTTAGCTGTTTGACAATCTTCAAAATAACTTATTTTAAGTTAAGAAAAACTTATTTTAAGCCAAAAGTTAAAAGCTGGGTTAGGAGTGCTTTTTTTTTCCAGCTTATAAGCTGTTTTAAGTTGACCACATTTTTACCTTTTTACCCTTAATATTTTTATACAATCTCCAAATTACCCACATAACCACATTTTTAGCTTTTTACCTTTAATTTTCCCTTTTCACGTGTGGATGATAGACAATTACTATTACTAATGAATGAAAATAAAATAAATCTTAAATCTTTCAATTGATCTATTCAAATTATATATTATTAAAATGTAAAATAAGTTGCACATATAAATTCCTCTTATAAATAATTTGTGATAATAAAGAAATATGTAAATGATAGACTATTATTATTACCTATGGATGAAACTAAAATAAAATTTTAAATTGTTCTTTGATCTATTCAAATTATATATCTTTAAAATCTATAATAAGTTTATAAACCTCTTATAAATAATTTGTGATGAGAAAGAAATATGTGAATGATAGCAAAATATAATTATTTATGGCTGTAAAATATAAATTAATTAACTTTTATTATTTTAACAACTTTTAAGGGTATTTCAGACATTTTGAGTTAAAAAGTTGTTTATCAGCGCTTATTTGCCAAACACATCAACAACTTTTTTTTAACTTTAGCACTTTTATCCAAACGCATAACTACTTATTTTAAAAATAAATTTCAGCACTTTCAAAAGTACCTTTTTTAAAGCTATTTTTATTAAACTCATCCAAACGAGCCTTTAGAGAACTATTAAAGCTAATATTGAACTTACCAAAAAGCCCCATTAGTAGTCCTCCATCCTCCATTGGACTAGACTTGCTCAATGCCATCGAATACAAGTTAAATTGTCACTTTGACGAGGGTATAAAAATAATATTGAATAATAATATAAAGATTAGTTATATTTTATTATTTTTTATTGGAAAAAGAATTATTATATTTTTGAACTATCGTATCTTCGTCACGTTTTTCGGACATTGGTGTCTTTGTTGTTTAAAAAATTAAAGCATATATACCTTTGATATTAATGGCCATACACGTCTCATAATCTTATCCACTGATCCGCACATTATATCGATGGATAAGATTGTGTCACGTATCCCTATTTAGTCTTCCGTTAGAGTGAAGGTCATATGCTCTAGTTTTTGAACGGCAAGAATAATAGTATCCCAAAAGTATGACGGAGGGTATGCGCATATCATTATTTAAGAGCTTTTTTGTTCTTTTTTATTGACAATTTAGTTTGTTATAGATAAATATATATGAAACTTATGTGTTGATATATTTGTCTTTTTAATTCCCTGTAACTAGTGCACTCGTAGAATAGGAGGAACTCTTCGTTCTTTTTAAAAAAATTGGGGCAGTGGAAGGGGAAAAGGAGGAGGAATTACAAGGTAATAACTGAATCTTCACCAACAAAGTGAAAATTAAAATAACTAACCACTTGAACTACTAAAATCTTCTCGCTAAAATTGAACCCTCACAAACAAGATGAGAATCAAAAGTGAACTCGCTCACTTGAAAAAAGGTTCTGAAGGCAAAATAGGTGAATTTGCACCCTCCCCCTGCACGCGAGATATGTGCGAGGCCTAATCCATTCTGATCGTCTTAAATCCATGTAATTGATATCATTTCAGTCATTATCTTTGGACGGTAATGTTCGATCACCTTTATATGGTTGAAGTGTGTGATTATCTCATGCCCCTCATATGCGAGCTTGATTCTTTTTCATGGACCAAGCACGGAGAATTCTTTTTAATTTTGAATGACGGTGAGACTCAATCTAAGGACACTATGTTAAATTGTGTCACCATCTCATCTAAAAGTTTAAGAGATTAGAGAAAGCACACTATTATTATTAATGATATTCTCAACATATATATATATATATATACTTATAATCGTTCTTAAATTATAATATCATTCACGACGACATGCCTCAAGCTAGAAGAAAATTACTGTAATCATACTTCAACAGACTTAACAACAATTTCCAGGTGAAATAAGAGACTATGTTAATAACCAGTACACATCTCTCATTTACAGATAAAACTCTGAAACTACAAAAAAGAGACAGTTCACATTTGTCATGTACCAAAATTTTTGAGTCACAAAGCCAGCCTTAGCAACTCATGATAAAGTATCAAACACTTTTTGATATTTTACAGTTCAAGAAACCTCAGACAAACCTTTGATAGCTCTTGGCTGCAACTGCTGGTTTCCGAGTCTGGCTTCCAGCAGCTTTGCCTTGAGTGTGTTCTCCTTCACACCTAGTGGTAATTTTGAAGAAGGTTCAATCACCTCACGATCAGGGGCTGTTACTTTTGATGTCCACTTCTGCACTGGACTGGCAGGACCAGTAAATGTCGTTGGATCGAAAGAATGTTCCATGTGCTTATCGTCATTTGAAAGTGTCTTAGCTTCATAAGGCAATGAATGATCTTTAAGCAAGTTATTCAGCAAAGAACTTCCACTTCTCATTAAGCTATTCGTTTTCTTCTGGAATTTTCTTTGTTTCGTGACACGTTTCTTAAGCACACATGAATCATTATCTTCAACCGTAGTCTCTTTAATCACCATTGCCTCGAAAATTTTCTCTTCAGGTTGAATTCTTGAGCTAGTCACGTCAGGGTCCTTCGAAAGCTGAGTGCCAATCTCTGTCTGTGGTGGATTAGATTCTTTCATCTTTTCGACATGGATGTTTGGAGTAAATTCCTCATGTTGATTGATGCCATCATGCTTTCCACTTAAACCTCTATTAGATTCAGAAGCACATTTAACGTTGTCAAATGAATCATCATCTTCCTTCTCTACTCTGGGGGCACTTGCAGGATTGTTCAAGTGAAAGGATCCCAAAGAATGTCGGCATAAACTACTCTCCTTTGCTCCTTTCAGGTTTAAGACATTATTCTTGTAATCACTAGATTGTCTAGCTTTAAGGAAGGTCTGTATTTCGGACCTCAACTTGTCTACAATGGTTTTCTTTTCTGCAGGATCATGACGTCTTTGGGATTGCTTCATTTGCATTCTTTCATCTAACCAGGCTTCAGAAATATGAATGACCAATCCATCCTTCTCTTCAGTCAATATTTGATCCTTTCTCACTTTGCTTTTCAAGAATCGAACTTCTTCTTCATACTCCTTAATTCCGTAGGCAAACTCATCACATAATTCTTCTAGCATACCCCGTGCCTCGCGTTCTCTTTCAAGTTCTTTTAAAGCAGTAGCGAAAGATGATTTCACTTCAGCAAGATCTCGAGCAAGCTTAGGGTGAAGATTCTCTGAGTGTTTCCTCAACTTTCTTTCATCCCTTAGCTGATCCATCAATGTCTTGACTGCCTCTTCGGCTCTGTTATGCTTGTTGTTCTTTCTTCCAATTCTGTAATTATCAATTAGCATCACCAAGTCATTTATTTCTTCTTTGTCTCTTTTCTTTTCCTCTTGTAGTTCCTTAACACGTCTTTGGGAGTGATCAACTTCTTTTCTTAATGCTTTCACCAACGACATGTTTGATGCTTGTTGTTCTTCAAGTCTCCAAATCTTATTAAGTATCTTAAGTAACTCTGTTGATGTTTTCAGGCTGTAGCTTGACTTTCCACTTCTAGCTTTAAGGTCCTTTGAGCTGGTGGGAGTCTCAACAGGTTTAAAAGGAGCCATCTGTATGTCAAGGAACAGGAAGAAATTTAGACATTACTACACCAAAATTGTTTGTCAAGAAATATTCTGAAAGTAATCAAATATAGCACGTGCAAGACGGACTTGAATGCGTTTAAATACGTTTGACGGGTGCAGGCAATAATCTTTACATTTCAGGAGAGGCTACTTCTCAAGCAGTAAATGCAGGTTCATAATAGACTTAATCCAGCTAACTTCAGAGAACAATATCTGAATTTTTCAGAAGTTACATACAATACTCCGACTATGTTCACCAGAAAATTTGTATGAAATCAGTTGATCGTAGCACATATTTCTGAATGAATAACTGATATTTAGCCACGGCTCACGTCTATAATCAAAAGCCAAATATTTCATGATCCCTTACTCATGTAGAAACTATCATGTGTTACTGAAGGCATCATACTTCAATTTGCTTAAACATATGTATAAAATGCATGAAACTTTCAGGTAATCACCAGCGAAATCTGTGAGCCCGAGAAAGGGGCGGGGAGGGAGAGTGAGTAAAAGAGAATAATTGAACTATGAAAATAAGCATGTGTAGTCAGAAAGTACAATACTGATTGTTTCTTACAAAGTACTGATTCATTCCTGAAACTACTGTCAAATTAGGAGTAAAGGTACTTTAAAAAGAAAAATTTACCTCCATTGAGCTACAATAACTTGCTGGTGATTCAAGCGATTGAGCGCCCCCATTCTTCGCAATTAAATGACGATGATGTTG